TACTCTCTCAGCCTAGATACACAGGGGAGGGCCTAGGACCTGCCCCAAATGATGTAACAGATTTTGATAATACCCCCATGAGAGGCCTTATTCTCCCTGAGCAATGGGTGGGGTGTGGGATGAGGAGATGATGGGGTAATGGGAGGACAGGAGGGAGGGGGAACTGGGATTGGTATGTAAAATAAGATTGTTTTTAATTCAAGTTAAAAACAAAAATCCCTTCAAAGCATTACTCCCAAAACCTATTACCCACAGGAATCCCAAAGGAATCTACTGTGAGCTATAGTAGCAGAGGGCAAATCATTCTGGAAGTATATAAAATGCATCTGGTATAATTAAAGACATGCAAGAAAGCAAAAAAGTTACAAAATAACCCTATAAGCTAGGAATATTTTTTAAAAGCATACAAAGAATTTTTAGAAATTAAATAGAAACAAGATGGTTAAGGAGGAAAAGTGTAGGAAGTTATGATACATCAGAAAGTTATTACAGTGAAAAGAAAATAGAACCCTACTTGAGTGTTCATGCTGTTGGGGGGATGAACAAACATCTATGCACCCAGATAGGGCATTCATGGCAGATGAAGGAAATTCACTCCATTCTAACTTAGTGAGCCAGTGACTTTACTGGAGTTACTTATGGGTGATGTGAAGGCAGGTAAATCACTAAAATGTCCATTCAGGCATGGTTGATGACTCATGAATACTATATCTTTGAAGTCCCCTGCATGATCTATATCAGCAAGCAGGACAGTCTCTTCTCCTCAGAAATTGTTTTACAGCTTTTATAATCTTGAGGAGGAACCTTGTGAACCTTGTTAAGTTTCAAGAACTTCCTAAGCCTCATAATTTTTCTTTCTTTCTTGAGTCTTATGAGTCTTCCTCATCCCTCCAGAAGGACACACTTCAGTCAGAATGAAATAGCTATATATCATACATATTGAAAATGCAAAACAAATCATAGCAGAAATTCAAACTTAGAAGCTGAATCACACCTAGAAAAGAGGGGGGAATGCTACAATCAACTAAAAAGGAAAAGTGGAACATTTATTGAGAAGAGTAAAACTGGAGGAGTTTGGAGCAGCACTAAAGTCATGGAGTAAGAAGGGGTAGATTAGGGCTGACTATTCCAGCCATGGAAACTTGATGCCAAGTAAAGTCACCATTCCTTAGTTATCACAATATGAAGTCAAATTCAGAGACGTATCAAGAAACTATTTTGACATCCCACCTCACCCAAGTCACAATTTGATCATCAATGGATCAAAGGACAACAAATGAGGTCATGGATGTGGGGAAAGAGGAACCCTATTCACTGTTGGTGGATTATCACAATGTAGTCACTATGATGTTCCTCAAAAAGCTAGAAATAGAACTACTCTATGCCAGGCTATATCTTCCCTGTCATATAACCAACGGACTCTATATCCTACTGCAGAGATATTTGCTCATCCATGTTCATCACTGAACAATACCTAGGAAATAGGAATAGTCTATATTTCCACCAGTTGATGAATAGATAATTAAAATGTGGTACAAATACACAATGGAATGTAACAAGCTGTAAAGAAAAACAGAAATTATGGATTTTGCAGGAAAATGGATGGCATTGGGAGAATATGCTGAGGTAGAAAGATAAACACTACATGTTCTCTCTCAGATTGGAATCTTACAGTCTTTAGATTTGTGCTTTTAGCTTAGAGTATCTGAAGAAGTCATGACACCTGGTACCTGCCCCAGGACTATTGGGCGGGGCTAGGGTGACTCCCTACAAACTGGTCTCTGAGAAAATTTATTATAAACCCAGTAAAATTCCCATAACTGAATAGAGAGGACCTACAACTGTTGTTAGCTAAATTGACATGAACCCAAACTACCTTCTAAATATTTAATTTTATAGACACAGACAAACGCTACCCTCAGCCTTAATCACAAGAACTTCTCTTTGCCTTGAAAGCAATGTACTACAGAGAATGAGAGTTAGTCTCTCTCCAGGATGAACTGATTGTTCAATACAATGTCAGCCTGCAACAATTCATACACAAACAACAAAAATGGACTCATTAAGTTGTATTTATATACTTGCACACACATGCACATGTGTGTATACAGCAATAATAATCATGGAAGAAGAGGCTATCAATTTGAAAATGGGGAGCATGGAAGGATTTGGAGGGAAGGGCTGGAGGTAGGAAAGGGGATTATATTTTAAATAACATTGGATTTAATATAAAAGATACACATGAATCATATTCCATGTTGTAGGACTTTGGGAATACTTGCAGCATTTTACTTTCCTTGAGGAAAAAAGAAATACAAAAACATAACAACGAAATCCCTCATAAACATTTGAAGCAAATATGGCGAAATTTTAAGATTTATTCTTTATAGTGTTTAAGGATTTGTTTTCTTGTGTTTAATGTCTTTCCTAATTAAAAACCAACAGTCATTGATGCAACTGACATTTTAATCTAGTTATTTTGGGCTACATCTTTTAATACTGTTGTTGCAGTGCTTGGATGAAATACAGGAAAAAGATTTGTTTTTTAATGAATGAAATAGATGGGATCATGAAAGCCACCTTTAGGTTCACTTTCTTTCTCTTACTTTTTAATTAAGTTCTATTTTGCTTCCTTCCCCAACCTATTCTGAAGAGATGTTAATGATATATCTTGAACTCTATTACAAAACAAGAATGACATTACAGCAAACAAAAGAATAAACAGACTGTCCTCTCCCAGGTTCCCAAACTCATATTTATTTCAGCATCAAGGTGAGTGGCATAAGGATTAATTAATCTCTCTAGCTTCTGCTCCACCAGCTAAGCTCATCATTCACACGTTAGAGAGCCAAGGACCATCTGAAAGGACAGTTTCTAGAAATAAATTATTCCTTACTTCATTGCTTGGTTCCTGTTTGATTCAGGTGGGGGTCTAAAAAGTGTGCTGGAAGGATACAGATGATGACAAGTGACTTATTCCCCAGCATCCTCTAGAATACCATAAATTTTATTTTTCTTATAACAAAAAGAGAAACTAAGATAGGAAAATGACATTCTCTTTACATTACCCTGCCATCAATTACAATTTCAAGAAGAGGAGAATGAGGAAGACAATGACAAGGTGACGACGATGACGACGACATTGATGATGATGATGATGATAAAGTAGAGCCCAAAATTCACACTGTGTTGTTACTATCTGACTGATGTCCATGATATCGTGAAGCAAGTTAGGCAATATGTGAATGTTATAAATATGAATTCTTTGTTTATACTTCCAGAATTTTAGCTGAATTAATTCTATACACACTTTGACTTTCTTGCTTAATCCACTAAGGTTCTGCAACACAAGCAAGCTGCTTCACAAATATCAACCAGAGAATAAACTGCCAGGTAATACTAAGCTGCCCCCAAACAACCACCAGATAAAACACACAGATCAGAATAGCTTTAAATTTAAAAAGTCACTATGATTAATAGGCTGCATATGAAAACATTACTAGGTAGGTGTGTTCACACTTGTCCTTCATGGTATTCACAAAGCTAAAGCAGGAGGATTGCCATAAAGTCAAGGCAGTCTGAACCATAAAGGGAGAATCTGTGTACAAAACAAAACAAAAGCAGAAAAACTAAAGGAAAAACCCCTCACAGTTGCTCAGTCTGTATTTGCTATGATAGGTAGTAGTTTAGCCTAACTAACTGCCCATTTTCACAGATAATACATGCATCAACTGTAGGAGCCCACAGAATTGACTCTGTTCAATCTTGACTTAAGATCAGAGAGTTTAAACAACAGGATGTCTGCCCTAAAGTATGGCTACTGCAGGATGTTTGGCCCAAGAAGTGGTCACTGGATGTCACAGAATACTTAGTTCAGGGAATGGTTGCTTGATGTTTCAGGTATCAGAGTCAATTACATCTGTTTTTTCCTTGTTTCATTGGTAAGGAAGTCTTTTGCACCCTCCCCCTTTAGCTTTTGTATTTAATAACTTTGAGCAATAAACTTGGGGAGGATCACAATATTCACTGGATGCCCTCCCAACTCTATCTTTTGTCTTCAGTCTGTTTCTTTCCTCAACCCACACTCCCCTTCTCAGGTACGAATTGGACTAGTCATCTGGAGCAGACAATCAACACACATAACCCTCAGTCAATCAAAAAGATGCGACAACACAGAAATGTTACAGCCAGACCTTGGTATGGTGCAACTATTCACAGTTATCCAGACTGGATGCTCAGGCACATTTCAGCACTTTACAGTTCATAATTTAAGCCTTATATTTAGGATAAAATAATCTCTTGAACGACCTATCTCAAGACCACCAAAAAATAATGTGGTTGGCAAATCAACATTTTATTCTCAGAAAACTTGGGGAATAGACTTTTGTCCATAAGATCCCCAACTTCCCCAAATGTCAATATCTTTGTCTACCCCATAGCAAATACTCCATTGAGGAATTGGCTATGAGGAAGGGCATTGGAAGCTAGCAAAACACATGCAAGAGAAATAGTGAAGCAACTCTCAGAGATGCACTATTGAAAGACTATCTCATCCTACAAGCTTTCCTAACATCATAGGGGAAAATGCCTAATGGGAATGGTCAATCCTATTTTTTCCATCCATGGTTCTCAGAGGCAAAAGACCACAAACTAGCGACATTGGTAAACTGCCTGCCTTATTGAATTTTCTGGAAAAGGATATTGATTTTTAAAAGAGAATTTAATTAAAGGCCTGCATTCACTCTCATAGCTAATACATACACAGGATCATTGAAAATGAAAGAAAAGGAATAAAAAAGTACTCTGTCTGGAAGACATAGTTTCAAACATTCTTATTTATGATTTCTTATTTAATAAACACTGTTTTTAAATTATTTATTCTTTATTTGTACCATCAAAATTTGACCCAGTCATGAGATTAAATAATTTCATAAGAAAATACATGTTTTCAGCATGAAAGTTGCTATTACAACTTGCTCATGGCTTTAAAATATACTTACCTCAACAAATATAAAACACGGGATGATGGAGTAACTTCGTTGAGTGTTGTTTCCTACAGCCATTTTTCAAACCATGTAGTGATACCTCACTGTCTGAAACTGTCCAGGCTGAAATGGAAATAGATTACAAGGTATAAGAACTGTGTCTTGAGAAGTCCCTTAGGTGTGTATACAAAATGCCAGCCACCCTCTAGATGGTCAGGCTAAGTACAAACAAGGCAAAAATATTGATCTATAACACAACTGAGCTAAATTACTAACCAAATTTATACTAAGAATAGTCATAGAGGACAATTGATCAAGTAATGAATTTCTTATGCACACAGCTCTAACAAAAAGGATTCTTACTGGGGAACTACACTGTTTCTTAACCTAGTAGACAGCTGTCATGTCACAAAACACAGTTTCTAGTATAAAAACATTTGTTGTCATCCTGGCAGGGATTCTCTACCTGTGTCTAATTCTGGTATAGAACCTTGTTTGGTCTGTTTGTTTGTCTCTGTCCATTCCTCTCCACTTGGGGCCAACATCTACACAGACACCAATCTCCCCCCCCCCCCTTTTTCCCCCCCAAAAAAAAACTGTGCCCCCACTCCCAAGACCAACAAGCCACAAAAAAAACATGGGT